TTTTGTTTTTTTTTTTTTTTTTTTTTTTTTTTACACAGACGGCAACCTTTATCCAACAAATTTTAATATAGCAAAATGAATAGAGCAGTCCTATTACAGAGGAAAGCAGAAGAAAAAGTGAACAGCAGAAAATGGACTGTCATAGCTGGCAGGGGCAAAGACATGTTTGTTTTTTACTGACTGGCTCTCACAAGAACTCCTTCCAGTTGCAGAAAAGTTAGATTAATGAAATCAGCAAAAGTCAGGTTTACTTTTAAATTTCTAACTCAGCTGACAAAGTGGCTGTAACTTGTCTGTAACACCTCAACTCCATGAAGCAGTTATGCTGTCGAGGTTCCTTCATACTTTGCAGCATTTACCTTAAAAGCTCCACGCTGGAATTAGCTACCTAGCAACATGGAAATGTAAAATACTATTCCCCTTCACATACAGAACAAACTCAACCTAACTGTTAGGCGATAGGATCTAAGCGCTAAGCAAGTATGCGGTGCACCTTGTCAGAAGTTGAAGAGCTACAAGAGATGGCTGAATTTGTGAACTAAAGGATGCCACAGAATTTGAGAAAAACAGTTGCAAACATTAATTCTTTCATGTTTTCACTGCAGTTTTGCTACGGGTCAATATTCAGTAATAGTGTCTGCTTCCTAGGTATAGGAAGTTTTTGCTGTGGCCTACAAACCAAAACAAATACCAAAGATTAAAGTCTCTGGAAACCATCACCAGCATTTTAAGACAATATACTACATCTCTTGCTGTCCTGGCTCAGAGGAGTCTGTTGTATCAGCAAAATTTTCTCCAAGTAAATTCAAACTAAAGGACCTAATAAAGTGTTCTGGCCATAAAGTGTATTCAAATATCTCAATACATATGCAACTTGCCAGACCTATGTTTGGTGCTGAAATCACCAGATTGAAAATACTGACTTTTATTTCAAGATGAGAGCGCTGCCTACGATAGTTTGTCCCCTGGGATCAGAAGAAGAAAGAGGGATCTTGGGGAAAAAAAATATATATTTATTTCTATATACATACACACATAACACACACACGTGTCTGTTCTCTGATGACTAAAATCAAAAGAAGAAATGTAGCGGTACATTACTTATAAAAGTCCTCATACATAAAATAGTTTTATCTTCAGGTACCTGCTGTAAAAAGACTGAATATATGCAACAGCCTTCATCTCTATGCAAGAATAGAGACTCCCCTTGTAAATATGGTGATTTAGGATTTCTCATAATTTACACACGTGTCTGTTCTCTGACGACTAAAATCAAAAGAAGAAATGTAGCGGTACATTACTTATAAAAGTCCTCATACATAAAATAGTTTTATCTTCAGGTACCTGCTGTAAAAAGACTGAATATATGCAACAGCCTTCATCTCTATGCAAGAATAGAGACTCCCCTTGTAAATATGGTGATTTAGGATTTCTCATAATTTCCAGAGACCTCTGGAATAAAGCATAATAGAAATTATTTCATTCTTAAAAACCTCACCTTTTGGAGCAGCAATAGGCTTAACAGCCATTCTCCCAACAAGACAGTCCTTCAGCATGGATTCATAATTGACCCAACGATGAACCTATATTAACAAAATTGGTTTTCACAAAATTTGTAATTCTTACTATGTTGTTCTATGCACTGAAATAGAAAAGTTCATTTTTGTACAGTGGTTAATGTAATTAATTTAGCAGTGGTTTTTTTTTTTTTAAACACAGACACTCATTATTGCATCATTCAGTACTTATTTTTACTTCTATTACAGATAGCATGTAATTAAATGAAAAAATAGGACCATGAAAAAGTGACAATAGTTTAATTTATTCATTTTGTTTTGCAGTATCTGAACATCATAACCTTGAGCTACAGAAAATATTTCAGAAGAGCATTTTTATGATGTATGCTACGCAGTTAACAGAATAAAGACCTTGTCTTTACCACAAGGGTAATTAGTCTTGTTTAGATACAAGTGAAGGGAGAAGGGATGAAGGAAACAAAGATTTTGAATAGTAGTTTAGACACACAAACAGTTCCTACCAAGTTGGCGTATTTCTGTTTGTTTCTGTCTTACTATCACTGAACTATTTGGAAATTACCTATTTTAGAAAGTCAAATAAAGTGAAGAAACACAGTAGCTTTACAGACCAGAACTGGAGAACTTGCAGAGAAAATGGATGGCAGAAAAGCCAATTCTGATAGAGCATCCAGGATAACATCACAAGAAGAGAAAAGGAAACAAAGTGCTGCATGACAAATGTGAATGGTATGTAGAGATTTAAAAATAAAAACTTTAAACTGGACAAGCTGAGGAGACGTGATAAAGAATCCCATCCACAAGTTGTAGTTTCCTCATATACAGACAACAGAAAGAAATGAAGGATTTTGAATGACAGTTTATTTTTCCAGAAATTTGAAACACTAGCAACCTACCAAACTCTTAAAAAGATCCGTATCTGACAGACACAGAATGCTAAAGCAGATGGGATAATAACAGAAATGCCTCCAGAACACGAAAGACATCAGCCAGAAACAAAAACGTAAACATCCACAAGTGTAGTTTCCTCATATACAGACAACAGAAAGAAATGAAGGATTTTGAATGACAGTTTATTTTTCCAGAAATTTGAAACACTAGCAACCTACCAAACTCTTAAAAAGATCCGTATCTGACAGACACAGAATGCTAAAGCAGATGGGATAATAACAGAAATGCCTCCAGAACACAAAAGACTTCAGCCAGAAACAAAAATGTAAACAGCATATTTTAAGGATCTGAACACTGCTTTCCACTCCCATGACAAAACAAACTAAAAAAAAAAAAAAAGCGTAGCAAGTATGTATCTGAACTTAGTAACAACTTGAGGGGCTTCCCCAAATATTCCTGATGTCAAGATTTCCGTTCCCAAGTACATCATGCAATACTTGACAGTGATCCAGCTACAGAATCCCAGGCCACAACTTGACACTGGATGAACTTTTAGGAGAGAAACTCCAAATTTCTTGAAACCAGAGAATTATGCTCAAATCCAACACTTCATTTGTGAAAGAGTTAACCAAAGATACACTTAAAGCTAAAACATCATCACTTCTTTATTTACATTCATTGTTAAAAACATTTTGCAAATAAAGGCATAACATACTGTGATGCATGAACTGTAAAGGGATAACAGATTTCCTTTCAGAAACAGAGGAGATTTCCTTTCTGCTCTTTCCCGGTTTCTCAGACAAACCTTGCGAGCCAAGGAGACTCAAAGAATGTCTGTTTCTAAAAAATACCAACTCGGTGAATCATCTTTTACAGCAGCAGGTTTGCAAGCAATTCCTTACAGAAAGTACACCCATTCTGCAGACCATTTATTTTCTGAGTCTTTTCAAAACATTTAAAGAAGTGGTAAACAAAGAAGAGACCAACTGTCATCTTGCGATTTGTTCACAATCAGTTAACAGCAGCCCCGGAGAGCAGCCCCAGCATTTCTTCTTAGTACTTTGTTCGCTGACAGTGCAGCGGCCAAGCTAATAGACGAAAGAATACTACAAGCATTTGTCAAAAAGTGAAAGTTCTGAGAAGAAAATGCCTCTCAAACAGCAGCAATTAGTCGTTGTAGTAATTTATTAAGAAGGTGGTATCTCCAGTTCTTGCTAGCTTTATTGCTATTTCTGCTAAAAAATTAATTTAATAAAATGGTCAAATTGAAGCATCATTCCAACAACATAAAGTCACATTTTCGTTATTGTCTTTTGGTACAAAGTTGAAACTACACGCCTCTTTCAGCACACATAAGTGCCATTCTGAACAGTAACCCATTGCCCTTCCTTAGACCCGAAAGTTCAAATCACCATTTCCACTGGAATGTCCTAAAAATAATCAGAAAACGTGCATTTTTCAAAATACCTTTCAGTGAGCAAGTGTCATTCGCTGCCAGTTGTTCTCACCTGATCAAAGAGATCTGTACCATCAGTTCCTGCTGCTTTCATTAGTTCATCCTCACCACCGGGATGATATTCCATGTATGGTGTGACATTATATACAAATCCTGAAGAAAATGAAATAAAGAAACGTGAGCAGCATTTCTACCACCACTCCTATCTCCAGGACCAGGTGAAAGGTTAGTGCATATTAAACAGTGTAATGGCAAACAGTAGACATGATTGGAACAAACAGTATGACTTTCCAAAAACAGAAACAAAAGTTACACAATCGTATAGAGCACAAGGCATATCTTATTACATAGAGAGGCCAATCCTACAATGCCATACCACCTGTCCCAGTGAACGTCGGGAGAAACCTGCAGGGTTAAGACTTTAACAAAATAAACCCTTGAAGTTGAACACGATGTATCCTAGCTAGGGGGTAAAAGAACCAGAGGCCGGTTTAAAGAGAGACATAAAACTGAGCTAGTTAGCACACAGAATTGCTTTCACTGTCCCTTCCAATTAAGTTACTCCTAAAGTGCTGTCATAGTTGTTTCCCTATCACCTATGGAATAAAATGCCTATGGGAATGAACTGTCTCCCATAAGGAAAAACTGCTACCATCAGCGATTAAATTTCCATTCTTCAGATTCAGCAATATAAAAAACTAAACATAGCCTATGCTCATTAAAGGCTTACAACTCTGGTACCAAATTTGTCCCAGTAAAAGGGCTCAGCATTCTTTCCACATGAGTACTATTCTTCACACTTCCAGGGAGATAAAACAATGTTTCTTCATAGGTCTGAAATTATGAAGTCCAATTATTGTTGCGAGTAATTAGAGCCTGAAGAATGCAGCTATAAACAGATTTAACTACAGACATATTGCTGCTTAGAGGACTATTGCAGGCCTACCTAGCAGAATATTTAAATTTAATATTTATTCACTCTCATTATCAAAACAGGAAGCTACCAGAAGTGGAACCGTGCCAGTGCTTTCATAAGAAGCTTTTAACACATTAAGAAGTGTACATTAATTACTTCAGAAGGAGAGGTAGGCATTCAGCACTGGGCCAAGGGGAGACATACTTGGGACAATCCTAGTTGGTAAGAACAACCATCCCAGACAACAAAGGAAGGATCTTTGCATATTTTACTGACCTGATCTTCTGATGGATGTATCCACTACGCCATCTTGCGTGCAGCACTGATTACTGCACACAAGAAAATGTAAGTAAATATCTACATAGTTAGGACTTCCTGAATATTAGCCAAATGTTCAATTTACCAAACTTGCAGGAGCAAAAGAAATCTCTCATATATATCCCTCACACTTTTTTTAACCCCCCTGACATCCCACTTTATATATTTATGGCCTATATGACAGCTTTCTTTGACCATCGCCATACCGGTCTTTGAATAAAGTTAGCTCCTAATCTTCTTCTGCTTCACATTCCTCTCATCAATTTCTGCTCTTTCGTATAGAGCTAGTCTAACTACCAACACAAAGATTTAATTTAGCTTTTCCACAATGGTGTTATTTTACTACCTGTCCACATACCAGGTCTACAGATAATCTACCAGGATTCTCAGTTATGCTGTTTTTTTCATCAGTAGTTCTAGAACAAAGAAGAGGCTGAGATGGGAAAATTTAAAGACAGATACAGAAGCAGCATGATGGAGTTCTTGTAAAAACCAACCTCAGAGATACAATCACGGGGGGGGGCGGGGGGGGAATTCTCAGTTATGCTGTTTTTTTCATCAGTAGTTCTAGAACAAAGAAGAGGCTGAGATGGGAAAATTTAAAGACAGATACAGAAGCAGCATGATGGAGTTCTTGTAAAAACCAACCTCAGAGATACAATCAAGGGGGGGGGGAGGGAGGGAAGAGATTAAAAACAAAACAGAAACGTTTTTAAGCAGTGATTCTTTTGCAGGAGGAGATGTCCCTTTTTGTGAGAGAAAAAAAGAACAGATCTCCACAGTAAATAAGCTTTCTTTAGCTCTCCTCCCAGTATAGTTTTGCTAGTATGTGCAAGAGCAGCACACAGAGCATTAACAATCCTATTATTTTGTTCAAAAGCCAGCACTGAATGACATTTTACCCTTACCTTCACTCTCATCCCCTTTAATGCCCAACAAAACCCTAGTTGCCCCAATAAAGAAATTCTTAACTTTTACCACTAACATGAAGCACTCTTCCTACAGAAAGGTCACAACAGCTACTCTTATCTTCTTAATCTTCATAGGAAGCACTGTTATCTCATAACAAATTTAAGGTGATATTAATGTATTTTAGCCTCTAAATAATTAAACTAGAGAGTAAACATTTTACTCCTTTCTGTAAGACAACTAGGAACTTCATCTTCAGCACTGAAAATACTCTTCTAGCCAGCGCTATTGCTCCAAACCACCTTTCGCACACTGTTAACTTATAACATACAATACTTTCAACTTTTGAGCTAAAATTTCATAAAAATAATAGTGTAAATAGAATGGCTCAGTTACCACGGGTATTTGTTATGCTAGATACAGATTACAACTGCTCTGTGTGGTAACTGTCATTTGCCTTACTAAATTTTATGAAGTAATACATGGCCTTACATGCTTATTTCCCAAAGACCATTGTACAGATTTAAGTAACATTTTTAATATTTGTATGTCTCTAGATGCTTTAAAGCAACCCCTAAAAATATTCAGCTGCTAAGGATGATAAACTCTCCAAGACTGAGGAGTGTAAGTACACGTCAGCATTTTCAATACCTTATTCTTGCTAAGCCCTTGTTGTTTGAGGCACCACTTATAATCTTGTGTTTTGTTATTTTCATATGCAAACATAAAATCGGGATAAAATATGCCCACTTGGAAGACTTCTTAAGAAAGGCTTGAAAGCAAAGAAAAGCTTTGTTACATAAAACCTCTAACTTGAACAAAGTTGTGTCCTTTTACGTCAAGATTACACCTGGCCTAAACATAGATGGCACACAGTTTGTTTTGGGGTTGTTGTTTGATTGGGTCTTGTTGCTTCTTAAGTACAGAAGAGAGAGGCTAGACAAAAAAAAGCCGAAGCAACATCACAGCAACCAACCTCTTATACATATCCAGCAGTCCTCCTTTTTGTTGTGCTTAGCAAGCTCATCTTCGGTCACTTCAATTAGCTTCCCTTTTAAACCAGCCAAGTCCTTCCCACTTTTAGTTAGTCGAATCCAATCCATAAGACTCCTTCCTGGTTTTAAAGGTACCTGAAAAATAACAAATGTACAAACATTATTAACTCTAGAGGAAGAAAGAGCCATTCAATACACTTTTTTAAGCTCCTAAGAAGGACTCGGGCAAAACAAGAAATAACACAACCTGTATTCTTCACCGATATTTGGGAGCCCTACTCAGCAGTAAGGATGCTTAAGGAAACTTCCTACATAGAAAACCAGGCAAGGGAATTACTGAACATTAACAAACATTTAAACGACTCTTCCCAAAGCAAACTGCAGATACCAAGTCCTCCTGTGATGGTAAAAAGTTTTTATCAGTGTCATTTGAGTTATGGCCTGGAAACCTACAAGCAACAAAGAGAGATTATGAAAATCACGGCCAGGTAGGACAAGGTAGGAAATTTCACCTTCGCAGCCTTCATAAAGACTTTCTGCAAGCCCTACAGCAACTGAAAATGTCACCCAGAGAAAGCTGGGGCCAAGTCTTCTAGCTTACCAGGGATGTATTATCCATGGCCTGCCTGAAAGGCAGAGCAAAATCCTCAGGGTGTCTAGCATCTTCCTTTGCAACAGCACCACAGACTGGGAACCCCTTTGATCCAAACTCTAACAGCAGGGAGCAGGGTTAAAGAATCACGGTCTTACAAAACCAGAAGCGAGAAAACTAAAGGGCACACAGACCCATACCACTTGATGCTACTTTAGTCTAAGTACGAGTTTGCTTTCCAAGTTAGGTCTGCAGACACCAAGTGCCCCCCAAACCACTCCAAAGACAGAGACCCGTAAAGTGTAAGCTGTGCGCAGTAATTTCAAGCTGGAAGTCTCCGTCTCTGCACAGGAGGAACCCCGAGACAGCCTGGGAAGGCAAAGCAGGAAGCGCTATCACCACCGCCTTCTAAAACGAGAAGTACTAAGTATTTTTCAGCGACGCAGCAGAGCCAGCCCCTACCCTGGGGGCCCTGTCACAGCCGCCGCGTCCCCTCGGCGGTTGCTGGAGAACGAGACCTCTCGAGGGAAGCGGCCAGAGGTAACCCTGCCCCAGCCGCAACCCGGAGCCGACCGGCAAACCACAGCAGCTCCGCCGAGAGAGGAGAGGCC